CCGATTCTGCTGGCTGGGGCATTGTCTTCTCTGCGCTTACACCTGCTGCCCCAGCCCCACCTGGGGTGTACGTCGGTGTCGCATATGGCGCAACGCGTGAGGTGTGGGACTTCGGCGGGGCCGCTGCTGGCCCGGCCAATGCCTATGCATCCGAGCTTGTCGGGTTGTTCTGGGCTGCTGTAGCTGCCTTTCAGTGCAAGTTCCGGGATCCTGTCACCTTCTTATGCGATAACCTAGCCGCCCTCGGGGCCGCTCAGGGTTCATGTGATGTGCCTTCTCACGATGTGGCCGCCGCGTGTCGAGACCTGCACCAAGGACTCTACTTCTCGGGCTGGGGTATGCCGCGCTATGAGCATGTTCGCGGACATACAGGGGACCCCGCGAATGAGCTTGCTGACGCTATCGCTGCGAAGGGGGCGTCTGGGTTCAGCCACAACCCCTTCTCTCTGTCTTTGCGTGCGTGGTTCCAAGCTGCTGCCTTCAAATGGGTGCCCCACTTTTGTTGGACTTCCCGTTACCCCGAGGAAGGCCCTCTCGCGAAAGATGGCACCATCGTTTGGCCTCCGGATGCGCCGCCAACCCTGCTCGATGCCGACGATGTCATGTTACCTTTTACCCGTGCTGCGAGGCCCTGCCCGGAGGCAGCGCCGGACGGAGCCACGGAGCTCTCGCTGTCTGTAGTAAGTTTCAACACGCTTTCCATCGTCGAGGTCGGTGTTGATCATGGCGGCGGTTCTGGCTTATATGGTTGCACTGGTCGTGTTGCACTGTTGGATGGCGCTCTCTTGCGTCATGGTGTCTTCCTTGCCGGCCTGCAAGAAACCCGCACCCCCGGAGGCACCGGCGGTTCCCCTAACTTCAAACGATACAGCTCTGGATGCCTGGATCGCCGAACCTTGGGGGTGGAGTTGTGGGTTGCCACCGGTCGAGACTGGCCCTCTCACACAGCTGTTGTGCTTCACACCGATCACACTAGGTTGTATGCGAGGCTGACTTTTTCTGGTGTACACTTGTGCGTGTTCGTTGGCCATGCTCCTCATGCTGGGCATTCACTTGCCGTGCGCCGAGAATGGTGGACTGAGACCGCCACCTTGTGCTCGCGTTATGGCCTTGATGAAGATTGGCTGCTCCTTCTCGATGCCAACTGCAAAGTAGGGTCCATGTGCAGCGCACACATTGGCCCACTTCACTCAGATCCCTTTGACGAGATTGGGGAGCTCTTCCATGACCTGCTCCGGAAATGTAGCTCCTGGTTGCCCAGTACCTTTTCCTCCTCTTTTGTAGGGGACGGTGGCACGCTTGTCCAAAGGAGGTCTGGGACGCTTTCCCGCAGTGATTACATCGCTCTGCCATGTGGTTGGAAGGCATCCCGTGTCTGCGGTCGTGTTGAACCGACCATCTCCGCCGGGCACTCCATTGTTGATCATTATGCCGTGCTAGTTGACGTCACCATGCACGTTGCACGCCCACCTAAAACACGCAGGGCCCCGCGCATCGACGGGCAGGCGATGCTAAAGCCTGAGAATGCTGCCGCTGTTGAGCGTATCTGCTCCGCAGTCCCCTCTGTCGGTTGGAACACTAGTGTGCACGACCATGCGGCAGTTGTTGTCGACGCCTTGTACTCTGGCCTCGTTAGTGCGTTCCCGCTCAAGGGCCGCCGTATGGGCAAGCACTATCTCTCTGAGGAAACCACGAATGTGCACGGCCGCACAGCCGCCCTCCGCCATGCGGTCAGGTGGCGTCTTGTGGCTTATCGAGCAGCACTCACGCGTTGTGCCTTCGGGGCGTGGGTGCGGCGCATCTCTTTTGTTGAGGTCTTCACCGGTCGGTGGTTGCATCAGCTGCGGCTTTCTCTGGCCCTGTCGTCTGCCAGGCTACATGCCCTGGGTAAGGAGGTCAGGCGCCTCTGTCGAAGGGATCGTGCGGCGTTCCTCGCCTCTCTTGCGGATGAAGCAGAAGCCGCGCCGCCTGGCCAAATCCACACAGCCATCAAGAAGGTGCTTCGTCCTAAGAAGTTTAGGAGGGGCGGCCCACAGCCTCTCCCGCGGCTCAAGCGACCGGATGGTACCCTTTGCACTACCGCTGAAGCAGTCACCGACGAATGGCGTCGCCACTTTGCAGCCCTTGAGGGCGGGTCAAGCATCTCCGTGCCCGACTTGGTCAGTGGTTGCGTTTGCCGACAGCGCGGCCAAGGCACTATGACCCAGGTGCCGGCACACGAGATGCCTTCGTTCTGCGACTTGGTCTCCTCTCTGCGCGGGATGCACCCGCACAAAGCGGCTGGCCCCGATTTGCTTCCACCCTCTCTGTGTGCGCGTTTCGCTCTGCCGATCGCGCGGCTGCTGTGGCCAATCCTGTTGAAGAGCATTCTCTTCTCGGCTGAGAGCATTGGCCTGAAGGGAGGGACCTTGCACCACATTGCAAAGGCGTCCTCTCCTAACCCTTCTACCGCGGCTGCCCAACGGGGCATCCTCCTCCAGCCGGTGTTCAGCAAGGCGATTCACAAAACCCTTCGCCGCATGCCAGCATCTCTCTTCGAGGACAGAGCGGCTCCCCTCCAAATTGGCGGACGCAAAGGCCTCTCCTACGAGCTGGGACACTTTATGTCTCGAAACTTTCTGCTTTACGCCAAGCATGGGGGCTTTTCGGCGGCCCTAGTCTTCTCCGACCTTGCTGCCGCCTATTATGCGGTTGTGCGAGAGGCAATCGTTGGGGCGAGCTGCAGCTCTGATCCACTGGAGGCTGTCACTGCCTCCCTCAACCTGCCCACTGAGGCCCTGCAGGAGCTTCAGCATTACATCGCCACTGCACCGGTGCTGGATGGGGACGACTGTACGGATCTCCTGCGCGCTTTTATGCAGGAGGCGCATAGCGACACATGGTTTCATGTCGCGCAAGATTCCCAGCTCGTCCGCACAACTCGTGGGACGCGTCCCGGCAGCTGCATCGCGGATGTCGCATTTAGCCTTCTCTTTGAACGGGTCCTTGCGCGGCGTGGGCACTTCGATGCGGATGTTACTCCTGTTGTCTTCTGGTCCGGGCAACGGCAATTGGAGTGCTTCTCGCGGGCTGCACATGGCACACAGCACGCAGTCGAGGTGCGTGACATTGTTTACGCTGACGACCATGCTGCCTGCGTGGTTGCTCGAGACGCTGCTAGCCTCACACCGGCAGTTGCGCACGTTATTGGACGATCGCTTGATGCGATTCGGTCTCACGGCCTTGCTGCCAATATCGGGCCCAAGAAGACGGCTGCCCTCCTTGTCCACAGGGGCAAGGGAGCCAAGGCAGCGCGCGACTCCCTTTTTGGCCGTGGTGGTGGCAAGATCACTGTGCTTCAGGAACACGCAGCACCTGTTGAACTTGATGCGGTCCCAACATACCGACATCTTGGCTCCGTGATCTCGTACAAAGGGTCGCTGGTCGCAGATGTGCGTGCCCGGCTTTCGCGTGCGAAGGCCGAGTTCGGGGAAGGACGGCGAAGAGTCTTCTGCTGCCCCCAAATTGGGCTCTCGAAACGCGTCGTCCTTTTTCAGCAACACATCCTCTCGTCTGTCATGTCGGGTGCAGGAGCCTGGCCTGTGCTCTGTGTTGGCGCCTGGACTTCCTTCGAGCAAGGCTTAACTGCTCTTCACCGACAGCTTCTCCGCCTTCGAGGCGAGGCTGCGCAGCACTGCACGCGTGATGAGGTTTTCGCAGCCTGCGACGCGTCAGACCCGTTTGACTTGCTCTCCTTGGAGCGCCTGCGCTTTTTGAGCCGATTGCTCCGCACAGGGCCGGACGCCGCCTGGGCTCTGCTGCAGAACAGCCCAGATGCCCTCTCCGCTTTCCATTCCGCTTGTGATTGGTTCCATTGCGCTGTCAGCAACACCAGTGGGTTGGCATGCTTTCGGACTGCGTGGACGGACTGGGTGCAGATCATGACCTCCAGCCCGCGCCGTTGGAAGGGCCTCTTGAAACGGGCGGCTGCCTGGCATAGAGGCCGGCGTGCCTTACGCGTTCGTTGGTCCGCCTTTGTCCGGGCTTCTTGGCGGACCCGACCTGCTCCGCCATCTGACCCGTCTGGTCTTCTGCATGGGTGCCTTCTCTGCAACCGAGCCTTCACTTCTTTCCAGTCTTGGGCGTCGCATGCTGCAATGAAGCACGGCTACCGCACGCAGCACCACCGGCTCGCTCAGGGCAACAGATGTCAGGCGTGTGGCTCCCTTTTCTCCCGTCTGAGTCGTTTGCGCAACCACTTGGGCTCGTCCAGGATCTGTCTGCAGGCTATCGAAGATGGCCTGCCCTCTCTCCTGCAAGGACGGTCACATACAGGCACGTGCCACTGCTGGACATGGTACGGCCCATCTCCCCGCAGTTCGGGCTGAGCTCGTGGCTCCCCTCCTGTCTAAGCTTCGTGCCCTGCAGGCCGGAGACGACGAAGCCATCTTCGCGATAGTGCGCGAGTTTGTCGAGCCTTTCCCAAATCTGCGCCGGACTCTTGTTCACTGGATCTCGGAGCTCTCGGATGGTCCCCTGCGGGACGCCGCCGATGATGTCCTGCTCTGCTTCCAAGTCGATCTGCTGTGCGACGGTGCCTTGCAGCCTGGCATAAGCCGGCACGCGACTCTTGATCCCCTGATTGTGCCTTTGGCCTGGTGCCCTCGCCCGGCCGGCCTGCCGGGGCTTGTGTGTGGCGCTTCCGCGTCTCGCGGAAGTGCATTGCTCGACATCTTGCCCGGTGGCGGTTGGCGTTGCTTTGATTTTCACAGCCCGCCACCCCCTGGCTTTTCATTTGCGGGTGCACTCATCGTGATCCCTAGTCCCCCAGTCACGGCTTCGCCCTCTTGGGAACCGCCCTCCTGCACGCTGCGGGCCCTTCGTCGCCTGTCGCGCTGGCTGGATCACTGTCTCTGTTGGGTTTCGACCGCACTCGCACTCGCGGCATCCGGCAGACGTTGCCACCTTTCCTTCTGCTTTCCTCAGCATCGGCTCGGGAATCTGAATGGTTGGTTGCTGGCATGCTGTCAGGCCGCCCCAGGCTCGCCCGCTCTCTCTTTCTGTTTCACCCCCTGAATTCGTTAGCATTAGGTGCGTTCGTATCGAACTCAAGACCTCGAGAAAGAAAAGTCCCCAAATTGAGGCTACAACTCTCAAAACGGTAGGTTTCCGGATTCTAAGGCACTGCGTGGAGGATCATGGGATGTAGTAAGTAAGGTTTGCAAGGGGCTTTTTAGGGTTGTATAAAGGGACTCTAAGGGTTCTATGAGGGCACTGTAAGAGTGCATTTCGGATTTTAATTTTAGTGCACTTGGTAGGGAATGAAATACCATAATTTTGTGGTCATAGGTTATAATGACAGGTTCCCTTATAAGCCTTACAACTACGTCCCATGACTCTATAGTTCTAAGGCATCCCTCAAACCACAACCTTACAGCGAAATCCCCAAACCCTAACATCCTAAAGCCACATCAGTAAAGCCCTACCCCCAAAGCCCCAAATCACTATTCTATGAACCCTAAATCCCTAGTCCCTAGATCTTTAACTCCCAAACCGAAAGACCCAAGGCGCGCCATCCACCAGCCCACTCGCGTCGAGCCGGTGACCACTCGGGCACAGGCAGAAAGTCCAGAAAGCACCCCGGTGGAGGTGTTGTTCATGCGTCTGTAGAGGTTTGTAGAGGTCAGGGATCAGAGCCCAAAAAGCATGTTGGTCCAGTTGTTGCTGCTATCGCCTGAAAAATCTTCCATAGCTGAGGGCCCCGGGCCATCACTAGGGTGACGGACGTGTGCAAGCGCACCATCATGTTCGACCTGCCACTGCTACATTGGTGATTCTTTCTGCTTTGTGTAATAGAAGTGCTGTTTTACTACGACGACGAAGACGACCACTGCCACTACTTTTACTTCTACTGCCGCTCCTTATACTACCTACTCCTTCTGCTAGACGTATGACGACGACACCTATTGTTATTTGATCACTGTCGGCTGCAAGGGCTTAGGATAGCAAATATGGCTTAGGATGGCAAATATGGCTTCCGTATTCTCTAATCCTACTTATTCGACCAGTTGTTGGTTTCGCTCGAAAAAAGGCTTGTGTCATTATTGCTATTATACTGGTTGGAAAGGGAAGTCCCTACATCCGGAAGCCTGAACCCCAAAACCCCCCCAAACTATGAACCCTAAGCCCTACACCCCATAAGCTCTATAAGCCCTATAAACCCAAAAAAGCCCGAAACCGTAGATCCTAGACCCCTGCGCCTGCAGACCTTCCCGACCATAGTCCCAGGTCCTAGCAGGGAGCGCTTCGATGCACGCCTCAGCAGATTGGAAGACCCTGGATTAATGAGCTGAGGTCTTTAGGGGTTAGGGGTTCAGGGATTCTGGGTTGAGGGCCTTTAGGGTACCGTAAGGCGGGAGTTCTGAAAGCGCATGCCAGGCTTCTCGAAAAACAATCTGGATCCTCTTGAAGTCATCTAGTCCTATATGGGGTCTCTCAGTTTCTGAACGCCCCCAGGTGACTTGTTAAGTTTAGAGTGTACGTACGCAATGTATGTAGCTGGGAGAAAAATTGCTTCCATGGAGTGCCTGTCACTGCGGCTTTACCCGTCCTTACACGGTTTAGCGTTCATAGGGTTTAGGGACACCGTCTATGTTACGTACAAGATCAGGAAACTGTATTATCACGTCAGCAACAGCAAAACACCAGTACCATCAGTCATATACTATCATGAATGAAAATAGGAGTCAACAATAAGGACTCAAAGCTTGGGTTCAATGCTCAGTCTACAATTATCGTGTCTACATACGAGAACTGGTTACAAGGCATATGACCACCATCGCTCCCGGCATCATCATCGCGGTCGTCATCATCATCGTTGCTTTCGTCAGCAGCACCATCCACCAATGCGCCAACTTCGTCATCATTTGCCCGACATCTTCAGAATCTCCACCATTGAGGCCATCACCGGCATTCCTATCAGCACGACCAAAAGCACTTTCCAAATTCATTACAGCATCCGAAGTAGCTCAACTGTTGACAACAGCAGCTCCTCCACGCACCAAAACCCACATCCCGAAGCACATCCTGCAACCCCAAAACCATAAACCAACACAGCACACTCATAAGACCAAAAAGCCTTCACTACCTGCTCTTTCCGAGCTAAGGATTCCAGAAATCGAAACCTAAAGCCCCATAGTAGATGCAGTAGATGTGTGGGCAGCAAAGGTTTTCTCGATTTCGGTATGTAGACGGTCTAGGGTTTTTAGGGTTTAGGTTTTTGTAAAATCCAAAGCTTTAACATCTTCACCACAAACCGCAGACCCAAAACCCTAAAGCGTTAAATCCTAAACGCTTGAGACCAGGACCTCTTCGACCCCTAAATGAGAGCCCATGTGTCCCTAAAGTAGTCCCTATTTAAGTACTTCGGAGCCAAAGTAGACATTGTTTTGTAGGCTCAACGAAAGGAGCCCGAAACCCTTAACCCTAAACCCCAGGGCTTCTATACCCTAAACCCTTTCAAGGAACCCTTAAAGGAATCCTGAAAGGTGCCCTAAACCCCAGGACCTCTTCGACCAGCTCCCGACCACTCAGAGCGTCGAGAGCAGCGGCCTCGAGTTGAGCAGTCTTCCGGCCTCCACGGCGCCTCCGAGGCTTTGCAGCGACTATCCCCGACACCCCCGGAGCAAAGCCGGGTTTAGGTTTTAGGGTTTAGGGTTTAGGGTTTAGTTTAGTTTGGGTTTAGGCTGTCCCCGACAGCCCCGGAACAAAGCCCGAGTCTTATGCACATGTGGTGTAAGTATTTGCACATATATGTATGTATTATACAGACACACGTACATTCATAAACATACATACATGTATCTGTGTGTGCAATACAGAAATGTTTATACGTGGAGAGAGATTTGAGTATTGCAGGGTATTTTGTGCTCTATATAAAGACACACAATAAGTTGCTTATGTTGTTTTGTTCGGTGTTGAACCAAGATTTGAGTGACTTAAGTGTTGATGTGCATTACTCCGTTTTATTGCTTGTCGGTAAATCTATTCCCTATTACTGTTAACATTAGTAGGTATGCACATACCTATATATCTATGGGGACAGGGGCGGCGGGGACGGTGCTGTAAACTGAGCACGAAAGAAGGGCATCCTTTCTTGAAGTGGGGGAGCTAGTACATGTATGTTCCGTGCTTTTCAGGTTCTAGGGCTTGCTTTTCAGTTTTTGGATGTAGAATTTAGGGCTTTCGGGTTTAGAATTTCGAACGGCGCAGAGCAACCAAAATAAAGTGACCCGGCATCCGTGACAAACAAGAGTATACCGCTTCAGCAGCCACAAAGGGCGCCCCCGTTCCTGCACTGAAAAAGGGAAAACACAAACATGTGCTTCGCGCCTGCAGACAAAACAGCGCGCACAACAGACAAAAGCACTCTTACATTGGACATTGGCTGTCAAGCAATAATAATGTTTTGATCGTCTAGTCAAACGGCTTTAAAGTCTAGAGTCTAGAGTTTTGCGAGCTTTACTTTTTCCGTAGTAGCAAGTCGTTCGAAATGCTTCCCCCAAACAGGGACAGACCATTTGCATTTCTGAGATTTGAACTCTGTTCGAAGCATGCTGCATGGGTGGCTGCGGCTCGGTAGGTTCTTAGACCATGCGATGGTATGCTTGTAAGCATTGCATGAAATCTTTGTAGACAGATGGATGTATTTACGCACGCATGGGTATTCGTGCGTTTATATACGAAGCATGTGCCAGCGTGCTTTGATCTATCTATGGAAGTACGCAGCTAAATGCACATGTATGTGTACACATGTCAATATATATATATATGTATCCATGCATGCATGCATGCATGCATGCATGGATGGATGGATGTATGGATGTATGTAGGTATGTAGTATATATATATGTACATGTGTACACATGTATGTGTGTAGCTGGGCATGTATGTCTCGGTCGTACTAATTTAGAGATGGTTGGCTTCGACATGGAGTGCCAGACGGGCTTGCAGCATTCTGTGCTCTCACAACATTACATGAGATCAGTTTAATATGTGAGAAGATGCGGAAATTTGTGAGGGTCTATATGAGTACATATTAGCCTATCGGTTTGCACCCCTGCACCCTCTTTATGTTTGTCATGCCTTGGTCTACTGTTTTGTTTTGAGCAGTCACGTAGATGTCTATACAATCACATAGTTTATTCGTATATATATATACATACATATATACACACTTTAAACTTAACACAATCTTTTGCCACTTAACAGATGACTCCTGGATTAATTTCGTTTATGATTTATTTATGTTTCCTTTACGTTGTGCATTGGTATGTTTGTTTTATGTTTTTTGTTTTACTTGTGTGTTGTTTACGGTTTTGCCTCCGCTGGTTTTATGGTTCTTTAATGTGTTTATGATTTGACTAGCCCGGGCTACGAAAATCCGTTGGTTTTCCGCGGAAATGACTGGTTTTTGCAGGAATTTGCTAGGATTTCCGAGCAAAATCATAGGACAATCCTACATTTTCCAGCAAACGAATGGGATTTTGTATGGTTCTCACAGGATTGATTTCCCTAGCAAAATCATACTGTTCCAAGGCCGTAGCCAGGCAACGAAAATCATCATAACAAAAACAATCATAAACATACTTATTTTTTGGTGAAAATTGCATGTACTTTTTATATGGATGTTTTATGCTTTTGTTTTATGATTTGGCTAGCCCGGGCTAGGAAATCCCAAGGAAAATCCTAGGTTTTCCTAGGAAAGGAATGGATTTTGCAGGATATTGCCAGGATTTACTAGCAAAATCATAGGTCTAGGAAACTGATGGATTTCGTATGGTTGCCATAGGATTTCCCTAGCAAAGTCATACTTTCCCAAGGCCAGGCTGGGCCAGGCAGCGAAAACCATACAAACATTAACAGAAAAACACGCGTAGATTTTCCACAAATTTTATGGATGTTTTTTTGTTGATTTGGCTAGCCCGGGCTAGGGAATACCGGGAACATCCTAGGTTTTCCTAGGAAACTAATGGATTTTGCAGGAATTTGCTAGGACCTAGCAAAATCATATGTTTTCCAAGGCCAGGCTAGGGCCAGGTAGCGAAAGTCATAAAAACAGCATTGAAAAAGTCCATGAATGTTGAATTATGTGTGTTTTTTTTCTTTGTCTTGCTTCTTTTTTTTTCTCGGGTTTGTTGTGTTGTTTCTTATGATTTGGCTAACCCGGGCTAGGAAATCCCAGGAAAACCCTAGGTTTTCCTAGGATTAAAGGATTTTGCAGGAATCTGTTAGGAATTCCTGCAAAATCATAGGAAAATCCCACATTTTCCAGGGAAACTAATGGATGTTGCATGGGTTGCATAGGATCTCCCCAGCGAAATCATATTCTTCCAAGTCGAGGCTAGGGCCAGGTAGTGAAAATCATAAACAAAAACATAAACAACAAACATAAATAATTCGTAAACCTGCAACGGCAAGCGTAATAGACCATAAATGCCAAACGTACAAGATCATAAAATAACATTTGGAAAATCCCAAGACGTCCATAATCTTCTGCACATTAGATTGTCTTAACACTAAACCCCATGATCGTTAACGCTCTGAACCTTATAGATCCCTTGTAGATCTCCTGTGTATTCATCCCCAAAAGATCCGTTCCAGCGCTCCGCAAGATGCCCCTCCTCAGGAACTCCACCATGATGCTCACCTTGAACTGGGTGGATGCACACTCCGAGTCTGCGAGCTCAGAGAACATCCGAAGTGCGCTGAGGGAGGTCCCCGTAAATTTGGTCCGCGTGGACACACTTCCGGAGGGCCGAGGTGCGCTGGGTGCACAGGGCCGGGGAACGGTGTGCTGGCTTGCATCCACGGACACACCCGCAGCGGAGACGGCGCTTCGGCGTCAGCTGACGGATCCAAGCAGTGCCTTGCGGCGCTTACTCCCCGGTCTGGTCGCTGAGAGCTCTGCTGTGGTCCCGGCGCCGTTGGCCGCTCTTGCTGTGCCTGGGGATGCAATAAAAAAAGCTGCAGTTTTTGGGGGATTTTTCGCCCTTTCATGAAAGGGGTCATAGCCTGCTGTTCTTATTCTTTTGGGGTTGGGGGCTATACAGGTGGGCCATGCACGGCAGCTGAGTGCCCGCGTGAACAACTTGGAAGATGCACAGAGACAGCTCGCTGACAATCTCACCAGCGTCGAGCGCCAGGTAGGGGCCTTCTGAAAATAAGTTCCCTTCTGTGGTCAATCCCCTTTGTCAAAACATCAACGACGACGTGTTTCAACATTTTCTTGGATGTCCATAGAATCTCCATGCAAGGCATTATAAACCTGACAAGCCCTGAAGCCCTGGCCCCAACACCTCACGAAACGCTAACCCCTAATCCTTGATCCTGAAACCCTTTAAACCCCAAAACCCCAAACCCTAAATCCCTAAAACCCTAAACCCTAAATCCCTAGATTAAATATCCCTAAATCCCTCAACCCTAAATCCCTAAACCCTAAATCCCCAGTCCTTAAACCCTAAACGAGGTGCTGAGCATGGAGGGCCGTCTGGCAGGCAGTCTGGGCCTCACTGCGCCACTGCAGCGCAGGGGCGAGTCGCGAGGTACCGGCGGGCCTTCAGAGCCCCTCGTCAGTTTTAGATTCAGGGTTTAGGGTTTAGGGGTTTAGGGTTTAGGGTTTAGGGGTTGAGGGTTTAGGGTTTAGGACCTAGGAGTCACCAAGAGGGTCCGTATATACTACTACTATGGAACTAGGTCCCCAAAACCATAATAAGGATGGTCTTTTGGTAGTAGTTTATATGGAGCCCCCTCGTCAGTTTTAGATTCAGGGTCCCGCAGCCCTAAACCAGGGTTTACAAGCTCAGGGTTCGCGATTTTGGAGAGCTATACCCTAAACCCTAAACGCTTAGGGTCTGATGGTTCAGGGGGGTCTCCAGGGTGTCTCTGTGTCGCGCTTAGGGCTTATGTAAGAGCTTGCGGGTTAGTACTAGTTTTGCATGGAGAGATGGAAAGAGTCAGGGAGGAGAAAGCCAGAGCATAATGCGTAGCAAGAGTGAAGGAAGCGACAAGAAGAGCGACACAAAAAGACCGAGATAGAGAGACAGAGAGAGAGGCAGAGGAGTGAGAGATAGAGAGATGCAGGAAGGGCCATAGCGATAGAGTCGGATAGAGGAGCAGAAAGGAAGCGTTTCAGTGAGCGTTGAGGTCCTCTCCCCTGAACTTGAGCAGCATCGGCCCACCTGGGCACGGACGCCGAGATCCCGTGGGAAGTGGCCGGAGCCCCTCGGACCGGATCGACGTGGACGAAGACGACGCCTCTGTGGACTTCGATTCCGCCTTCAATGAGACTGCGGAGGCCAGCCGCCGCAAGGAGGACGGGAAATAGACTGTCCCGGTTGAAGAGTGTCTTCAGAGGTTTAGGGTTTAGGGTTTGGGTTAGGGTTTAGGGATTTAGGGTTTTAGGGTTTAAGGCAAGAAACAGCCAACACTGAAACATGACATGATAGCCTCAACTCAGTTTCGTAGATCGTGTAATGCATGTGGGCCTGGACACAAATTGCCGGCCGACGCTGTCACAAGGGAGGGCCGATAAGGGCGGCCCATGTGGTGCAGGTGCAGCTCCCCATTTACTTATGACCACGGTACTTTGGCATCCTCAGACTTTTGGGAGTTTAGGGGTTTCGGAGGGTCTACAGAATTGGCAATATATATATAGATAGATAGATAGATAGATAGATATATAGATAGATAGATAGATAGATATAGATATAGATATATAGACCTGTATATATGTAGTTCGGTAGTGCTTTGAGCATAGGGCCGCAGATAGCCAGAGATAGTGGGATACTCGCCATACCTAGTGCCTGTTGGTATCCTGGGTTCCAAGTATACAAATGGCACCGAGTCAAGTCTATGAATACTACCTACTTTGGCCTGTTTAAAAAGGGGGAAAACCCTCAACCAAACCCTAAACCCCTAACCCCTAAAACCTAAACCCCTAACCCCAAAACCCTAAACCCTAAACCCCCAAACCCTAAACCCCAAAACCCTAAACCCCTAGCCCCAAAACCCCTAAACCCTAGACCCGAAGAAAGCTCCACATCGGAAGCTGAAGCGGGACGAAACTAGAGGACCGTGCTCGTATGATGGCTAGGGCTCTTGTTCTAAGGGGCCCAAAGAAGGGAGCCCTATATTCTGAAACACCAAGTCACCCAAAACCCAAAGACGGGAGGCCTATGTTCTGAAACACCAAGTCGCTCAAAACACTAAGACGGGAGCCCTATATTCTGAAACACCAAGTCACTCAAAACCCTAAGAAGGGAGCCCTACATTCTGAAACACCAAAGTCACCCAAAACCCTGCATCCGAAACAGCAGCTAGACCCTCCACGCTAGTCCCTACAAGAACCCGAGCCTGAAGCTCGCAGGAACAGCGGCATGCTGCCGAGCAGGCTGCACAAGCGGAGCGCGAGCGCCGACGAGCGGAGGAGGAGTTCGAGCGAAAGCGACGGGAACAGGCCGGCAGTTCGGATCTAGGAGGTTTGGGTTTAGGGTTTAGGGTTTAGGTGTTTAGGGTTTAGGGGTTTCGGGTTTAGGTCTGTGTACTAGGGTTTTTGGGGTTTATAACGGAGATTATAGGTCCTGGGCAATAAGGCCTTGTTTTTTTGAGTGAGTGTCGTGTTTTGGCGTTGTACAAAAGTTATATACAAAAGGGTTCAGGGTTTAGGGTTTAGGGGTTTAGGCTTTAGGGTTTACGGTTTAGGGGTTAGGGTATTGCTATGTGCGCATGTGTATTGCTGTTGCAAGATATGGCAGGCACACCCAGGCCCCATGACGGTCCTCTCTGTTCCTAAAACCTAAAGCCTATAAACCCTAAACCCTAAACCCTATACCCTAAACCCTAAATCCTAAACCCTAGACCCTAGACCCTAAACCCTAGACCCTAAACCCAACCAACCCTCGACGAACAATAATTACCTTAATCCCAAAGAACCTACCTTTTTAAGGACTTATACAAAGAAACTATACTAAGGAACTCTAAAAAGGTAGGTTCTTTAGGGTCCAGGTAAAGCCTCTCAGAGCAGGCTGACGCGGAACGGCGCCGGGCAGATGCCGCCCGGAAGGAGCGAGAGGAAGCGGAGGAGAAGCAGCAGCTTGGCTCGGGATTTCGGGTTTAGGGCCGTTTAGGGTTGAGGATTCAGAACTTGGAGTTGCTCTAACACAGCCTAAGATCAGCAATAGAGTAAGAACATCCAAACTAATTACTATCAAAAGCAACAACAACAGCAACAACAACAACCACAACAACAACAACAGCAGTATACTCACCATGAAACATGTTGCACGTAGCCTAAGCCCCTGAAAGCCCAAGCCGAGCAAGCCTCGCGAATTCGCAACAGTCACCAAGAAGCCCGAAGTAATCCGCATCAAGAGCGGGTATGATGGTAGCTGGAAGACTCAGACCACGAGCCAGGAATCCGGGCGTTTTATAGGTTTAGGGTTTTGGGTTTAGGGTAAGATCTCCATCGCCTTATAATGTTTAGCCTCTGCCTGAGTCAAAGCGGTTCGGGGGTGTGAAATAATCACCATTTCTGGCAACTGGAGCCTTTATATAAGTCTGTCCGTGTGTGCGTGTCTCTGGCTTTCTCTCTAGCTCACCTTCCGCACAAAATATATTTCTGTGTATGTACATACAAATATTCAGTCACACTGTTAGCCACCAGAACATACTTCATACAACTTTTCACGAAGAAATAAACACACCAACACATGTGCATGCATGTCTGTATATACGTAATATGTATATATATATATATAGAGAGAGAGAGTGAGTGAGCGACTGAGTGAGTGAGATGTATGTGTGCATATATATATATATGTGCGTGTATATGTATATATATATATATGTATACAGATGCACCCAGACAGGTATGTAGGCAGGCAGGCAGGCAGGTAGGTAGATAGGCAGAAGGAAAGATAGACAGACCATGAAGAGATACGTAGGTGGATAGGTGGATAGGTAGACGGACAGAGATGTGTTGACTTGCACCTCTCTCTGCCTCTATATCTATACATATGTGTATGTATATATATATATGTACATATGAACTTAGGGTTTAGAGATTGTACATGATGTATGCATATAACATGCATGAGAGCTGAAAAATTCGACTAGCGCTGCGAGCCGTCTCTTGAGCAGACGGTGAAGCCGAGGCGAGAGGAGGTGAGACGCCTCGAGGAGGAAGCTGCAAAACGACAAGCAGAACAGGCCGAACCCCAGAGCAACTCCTGTGTTTACCCTCAAAGGACACATATGTTAAGGCTTTTGGGCCCAAAGACCCTATTATATAAGGCTTTTGGGCCATTTTGATGCTGAGGGCTGTGACTTAAGGTGTGGTAAACTTTTGGGTTTTACGAGCCTAGTAACGAACACTCAACCCTAAACCCTTAAACAGCTTATTGCCAAGATTTAGGTGCCTGTTCCAACTCATCAGGCCTCTAAAGTGCAGCAGCTAGTAGCTAGTAGGCCCTCTCGATTGTACCTGCATAGGGTTGGAAAGAGGGCCCAAAGACAATAACCGGGTCAGTACTGCTTCCTAGGTGTTTCTAGTCTGTAGTGTAGTTGCTGAGATGAAGACGGATGGCTCTAGCGAAAAGCTTCGTGTGGCAGAGAGGCTTATGAAGCATATGCACACGCCAGCGAACAGTCGAAGGCAGGAATTTAAGCTTTGTGAACGAAAGAAGTGTGTAAAGACGGCCCGCGCCCTACACCCTAACGACGCTATCCCTGCCCTTAAATGAGCAACACTCGTTGAAACAAGTGATATTGGACCTCTTCCTCATCGAACCTTTATAGAACCTTGAAAGCAATGCTGAAGGTCCAGCTACTACCAGTCATCCAGCTAGTGTGACCCTAAAGTACCCATCTATGAACCCCTCCAAATCCTAAACCCTATACCCAAAACCCTATACCCTATACCCTAAACCCCTAAACCCTACACCCAAAACAAGTGTAGACTACATCGGAACATGGACCCTTAAGGGCCAACGGCCACCCAGATCTTCCAAGACCCTCGAAATTACGGAATATACCTTAAAATCATATTAGCGATCCCAATTGAGTTTAAGGTATATGCTTTACCCATAGGCCCCTAAGTAGTTCCTTCTTGTGGTTTATATTTAGAATCCTATGAACCACTTCGGGGCCCTCTGGGTAATTAGAAGATCTGGCCAGGCTAAACCCTAAACCCAAACCCTATTTAAGGGATATTTGGGAGATCTGGCCAAGCTGAAATCGGGAAGCACTTTCTACGCCTTAGGCGAAGCGTGCTCGGGAGCAGGCCGCGGAGGACTCCCGTTTTGTGAATGTCGGTTTAGAGGTTTCGGGGTTTAGGGTTTAGGGGTTTAGGGTTTAGGGGTTTAGGGTTTAGGGGTTAGGGGTTTAGGGTTTAGGGGTTTAGGGGTTTAGGGGTTCAGCGGGTTTAGCGGGTTTAGGGTTTCAAAGGTTTTGGGGTTTTGGGGCTTAGGGTTTGATTCGGGGTGTTCTTGAAGTAGCTGCGTATAGGGCCATCTTGTAGTTATGCAAAGGTGGTTGTAGGGTGATTTGTTGCTATGCAGTATGCTTTAAGAAACTAGAATAGGTTTCAGATTATAGGATTTCTTTCGGGGCCTCTGATTCCCAACAAGCCGTGGGGATGTAGGGCCGCAGCTGGTGCTCGCTAAATTTCGGACCCTACGCCCTTCAACTCCAACTTATAGTTTTCATTTCGTTGCAGTTCTCTTTTTGGTTAAGCTGGTTTTTTACAGTTAGGATCCGTTGAGGTACACCGAAAAAGGAATTACCATGGAGACTACTATACCATAGGCTCCCAAGTAGTTCCTTTTTTATGGTTTATCTTTAGAATCCTATAAGGTAATCCCAAAAAGGAACTACTTAGGGGCCTATGGGTATAGGCAAACCCCGAAACCAACAAGAGCTAAACTCCAGGATCCGAGTTCCAATCCCCAAGGATCCATGTACCCAACTAGTATATACTCTCGCCAATAAGGTTCCTTTGAGGGTTCCTGTAAAGGGTTTCTATAAGGGAGCTATAAGACTATAGGGGTTTATGGTTTAAGGATCCATGTATCCAACTAGTATATACTCTGGCCCCAAAGTACCTACAAAGGGACGACTTAAGGCCAAAGTATATACTATTTGGGCACACATGGACCCTTTGGAGGCTTCACCCAAAGCCCGAAGGATATTGAAATCATCGGCGTACTTCATGCAGGATTTCTAAAGCCCTCCTGATATGTTAAGCCCCAAGAGCCTTAATTAAACTGTACATCCTATTCGAGTCTGGTGAAAAACCCATGAACTGAGGAAGTTGACCTATGTTACATTAAGGATCCTTCTACTATGTACCCTAAACCCTAAACCTACCTAAACCCTAAACATCTAAGCCCTAAACTCCTGAACCCTAGACCCCTAAACCCGATATTCCTGAACGAACGGTTTTTGGAGCCTCTGAGCCCCAAAACGCGGTCACTGTGACAAGGACGCTAGGCTCCAGGAGGAGGCTGAGGCAGCCCGCCGCCTTGCGCAGGCTTCGCGCTTGTGCTTGGGGATGAAAGTTTTGGGCTTAGGGTTTAGAGTTTCGGGTTTAGCGTTTAGGGTTTGTGCTTAGGGATGAGATTTTAGGAGTTGTAGAGCTTGGGGTGTGGGGTTTAGGTCCTTTGATTCGTTTCGGTCGTTTGCGATGTGTGTTTGTGTGTGCACATCTACATATTTACACACACACACATGCATGCATGCATGCATACATACATACATACATACATACATACATACATACATACATACATACATACGCACATACGCCCATGCGCACATACGTGCGTACATACACGCACATGCATATACACACACAGAGATACGAGCATGCATACATACATACATACATACATACATGCATACATACATACATACATAAGTACATAAATTCATACATACGTACATACATACATATATATATATAAATATATTTATACACATACATATACATAAACCTAGACATAAACATATACATAGGCATTTGCCTGAACGTATGCCTGTGCATATACAAATACATCTATGCGTAGTTATGTATGTATGAAAGAATGAATGTATGCATGTATGCACTTATGCATGTATGTATGCATTTATGTATGCATGTATGCATGCATGCATGCATGCATGCATGCATGCATGCATGTATGTATATATGAATTTCTGTATGTATGAATGTATGTATGTATGTATGTATGTAATGTATGTATTGTATGTATTGTATGTATTGTATGTATTGTATGTATTGTATGTATTGTATGTATTGTATGTATATGTGTATGTATGTATGTATCTATGTATCTATGTGTGTGTGTATGTATGTATGTATGTATGTATGTATGTATGTATGTACACACGCTTACATACACATACATACATACATACATACATACATACATGCTTACATACACAGTTAGTGATTCATGCACATACACAGACGCCTGCACATAGTCGCACACATGCACCTACACATTCACACCCATATATGTATGTATGTATGCATGTATGCATGTATGTATGTATGTATGTATATGTATCTGTATTTGTATCTGTATCTGTATCTGTGTATGTATATGTATATGTATATGTATGTGTATGTGTATGTGTATGTGTATATGTATGCATGTATGCATGCATGCATGCATGCATGCATGCATGCATGTATGTATATATGAATTTCTGTATGTATGAATGTATGTATGTATGTATGTATGTATGTATATATGTATGTATGTATGTATGTATGTATGTGTTATATATATATGTTTAGATACTGTCACACACACACATAATATCATGTTCATATACATATATATATACATATATATACACATATATACACACATAACTGCTCTGTGTGTTTGCCTGCCCGTTTGCCTGCTTGGCTGTTTGTTTGTCAGTCTGCGAGTCGTCAGTCCGTCTTGCTGTCTGTGGTAGGTATGTCTCTATGCATCTGCGCAAGTACGTATTCATGTGTGTGGAGGCATGGATGCATGAATAGATGGATGGATAGAGGGATGGAGGGATGGATGGATGGAGGGATGGATGGATGGAGGGATGGAGGGATGGAGGGATGGATGGATGGGTGGATGTGTGGATGGATGGATGGATGTGTGCATGTATGCATGTATGCATGCACGGATGTATGTATGTATGGCATGCATGTATGTATGAATGCGTGTATGTACGTACGTCTGTGTTTATGTATGTGTGCATCACGGTGAGCGAATGAGCATGAAAAGGCGGGGAAAATCAGGGGTCGTCACAGCGGATAAACAGAGCAGGGAGACTGAGCACACTGTGACTTAGATAGCCAATGGGAGAACTTTAAACTTTTTGGCCTTGTATATTGGGTCTATCTTAGAAGGTTTGAACTTTTGGGGGCCTGGTTATTGAAGCAGAGAGGTGATTACAGCTATGCATGCGCATGCAGATGCAGACCCACACATACCTGGACAAATACATATTATAAGCTCGCGCACGTGCCTCTGTGTGTGCGTGTGGGGTGTGTGTGTGTGTGTTTCGGTTTCGATGTTCTTAGGTTTGTATTCACCTTCATGTGCATAAGAAACAAAACTCGAGCAGCTACACACACACACACACAAGGAGATTCCACACAAACCCACCTGCCCGCAAGCCGAATCTCCAATCCCTAAACCCCAAACCCTTCAAGTGCCTTATAAAACTCTACAGAGAAGCCTACAGACCCCATTTAAACTCACAAAGCCCTGTAAAGGTCGGACTTAAGTCCAAAAGTTGAAAACTCTTAACCCTACAAACCTAAACCCTAAACACACACTGCCTAACCCCCCCCCCGCCCCCCCCAGAGGAGGAGGCAGAGGCCCAAAGGCGCAAGGAAGCAGAAGAGGCCGAAGCCAGGAGGCTCTTCGGCTGTCGTCGGATAGTTATTTGTGTCTTCTTTTGGTGTATTGTCTAGATCGTGTTCGAAGGTATAGTTAGTCTTCTTATTGGCTTTTAGAGGGATTTTAAGGAGTTTGCGAAGGTCTGGTGAGGATTTAGTGCCGGTTTCGGGCGACTTGATAGACGGTGCGTGTGGGGTTGAGGGGTCCTTGGCTTCGATTTAGGGGTTCAGGGAGGGTTTAGGGTTGTAGACTAAAACACTGCCGATTTGGGGTTTTCAAAACGACAGACAGGACCTACTTCGGGCTGGGCTGTTT